TGTAAGACTGTAGTAAGAGAAGGTGAGCACAATGATTAGATTTGTTTTTTCATTTCCATGTCAAAAAGGGGTGAAACCAGCAGCTCTGATCGGCTTTGCTTAGCTGGACTGACCAGTTACCTGAGTCAAAATGTTCTAATTGATCTTTCTCTTTAAGACACCACCCACATAATATGCAAATGCCTGTCAATGTGATATTCCTGGGCATTTTTTATCATCTGATCACCTATCTTAATGCTCAAAGGCCCACTTACATGACTGTAAAAATAACTCAAGTGGTTCCTGTAAACTTGGGTTTCCAGTGAGGCCGAATGAGCCCTTCAGATACCAGCACTCTTGAATGCTGTTTCCACCTATTATCACAGTCTCTCCTGGGTACAGTATGGATTATAAAATATTGAATGTAAAACTTTCTTTACAAATGAGGCTGCTCGTAGCCTCTGTATGGTAGTAAGCTAAATAAAGTGCCCCGCTGACGTCTGTTTTCTTGAGTTCCATGCATACAGGAGTTTTGCATTTAGGAATTCCACTCCTTCCACAGCCCAGTTATTTATTATTTTAATATACTTTCTGCCTGAAAGGTGAGTAGCGTGCACATAGCCTTGTTTATGACCATTCCTGAATAGAGGATTTCAGTTGATATTGTCCTTACAAACTGGGAACCCAAATTGTCTTTAGTTTGAGTAATTTTTAGTAATGAGTAATCTTTAGTTACCAGTAATTTGTGTCATACAGCTCCCCTAATGTGACTAGCTTAATTATACTCTTCCCTCCCTACATAAGCATAATTAGTTCTAAAGTTTTTGTAGGTAGGAAAAGCCAATGCGGAATTTCTTCAGTCTTGATTAATGAATGAACTGCAGTGTTGCTGTTTTCATTCTTTAATCAATGGATGTAAGTTTAGGTTGTGTGTATGTTTGCAATTCGATGATGCAGTTACCTGTGTGAAAAGGCAGCTGCTGCTTTAGTACCGGAGTGATCCACCAGGTGCTCAGCCTGTCCGAAGGCTTTGAAGTAGTAGTGCTGATTGCAACCCTTTGGGTGGAAATTTGAATAGGGAAAGAGTTGATTTTGAGATATTTTCCTTTGTTTTTTTTTCCTGCCTCAGGTTTATTTGTACAAAGAGCACAGGAGGACACCAGCCCCCTATAGATGGCACCCCAGAGGCCACATCAGTCCTTCTGTTTTCACATCAGCAGATAAGAGGCCTTTACTATGGAGCCTTCATGGGGCCAGGGCACCTTTGGGAGCCTGGGCTGGCATAGAAGCTGGAGCCTGGGCCTTGGCTGGAGCCTGGGCCTTTGGCTGGCAAGGCCTGCGACCCTTGGCAATGTAGACATGGATATGCTTCCCAAGCTTGGGGTGGGCAATATAGGCAAGTTGAGTGAGCCTGTGGTTTACTACCTTTGCAATGATCTTGGGCTTGACCTCCTTGGGCTTGATGAGGGCCTTGATAGCCTCAGTGCGTGCACTCATGGCCTTGGCATTGTTTGCTTGCATCTTCTTGAGGCCCTTCTTGTTGTGCTTCTTGGCAAAACGCATGTTCCTAAGGATCTTAGGATCTACCCCCTTCAGAGATTCGTATCTTTGTGACCGGGGCTTCTTGATGCCATTTCTGTGCCATTTTCGGGACTGGTTGTGCGTGGTGTGGTTCTTGGACTTGACTATAACTGTACTGTAAACTGCAGCTGCCAAGCAACTGGAACTGGAAGAAGAAGAAGAAAAAGTACTTCCTTTGCTTTTTTTGTTTGTTTGTTTGTTTTGTTTTGAGATGAAATATCAGATTGATGGGAGAACACAGATGCAGGGAAGCACACATCATCCAGCGATCACCACCAAGCTGAAAGTATCCAAAGCTCGATGAGGGAAGTGGCCATCCTTTGCCATAGAGCAGATTGCAACCTGGTCTACATCTCTTATAACGATGTAGCAAAATTGGCTTTAAGGACAGGGCACATGTGACATGGGGCATACACTCTGAACCCCAGTTCAGTGACCAGTGTTAACTGTTTTTGACTTGCAAATATACAGGTACCTAATTACAGTACTAATTCCATCAGTATATGCTAGGTGGAAGATGTTGATTTCAGTGCTGTCATTCTTACATTTACCAAATACTTATTTACTAATTTTAAGTGCTAGGCATATCTGTCAAGGTGAAACTGTGTAGTGAGCTAAAGAAACAAATTGCCATCCTTATAGCCCTGTAATGTATTTTTTTTTTTAAAAAAAGGATGTATTTAGTACAGGGCCTACAGGGTCTCACTACACAGATGAGACTCAGTTATCCTCCTGTTTTCAGCCTCCCAAGCACTGGGATCACAGGTGTTTGCCACCATGCCCAGCCTCAATTGCCTTCTTGGGGGCGGGGCTGGCACAGCGTGCTGGGGTATCGATCTCTGGCCCCTGTGTCTGCCTAAGTAGGCTCCTTAATCCACTGAGCTATCCTGCCAGCCCCTATCTGTAATGTAATTTTCAGACAACGTTGTAGTCAGGTTTTCCTTTTCTTTTTTGAGACAGGGTCACACGAAGTTGCCTGATTCTTCCAACTCAGCCTTCTGAGTAGGTGGGATTACAGGCATGTGCTGCCACTAGCCTGTCTTAATTACAAGCATAAAAGAATATCCCTGGACTACCATTGACTTACGTATGGAAATTGAGAGTTTGTTGTAAAATATAAAGAGTATTTTATTAGTATATTGAAATAGTGATCCCCCTGGTTCCACCAAAAAAAACAAAAAGAAAAAGAAATAGTGATCCCCTCCTGTAACAACCCTGGGTCTGTTACTGTCCCTAGGTTACAGAAGCGGCCTGGACTCAAGGAGAGGGTGATTTGCTCAAGATTATGCTGCTCAGTCACAGAGCTTGGAGTGACATTCAGGTCGTCTATTCCAGAGCCAGGAGGCTCAAATCTAATAATGTTTTGCTTTCTGAATCCAATAGCTAATAGAATAAAAAATAATTTAGGAGACTTTAATGAAAGGGTCTGATTCTGGGGCAGTTTTTAGATAACGCTCTAGCTAGCCCATACTGTATTTCGGAGGACACCATTCTTTAGAATAGTTTGAGTCTCTTCATTTATGGTGCTTTGAGCTTTTTAATGTGCTATTCATTGAAATGGCGATCCAGTTCCACTTGCTAGATATTTGAAATTGACTTTTCATTGTCTCGTTTGATTTTCTTTGTTGGCCAAATTTGTCGCTTCTTTCTGGAAAGAAAAGTGGGATTAATTGACTTCCTTCCATTAATTATAACCATCTCCCGAGAATTCCAAAGTGGAGCTTTCAGCGTCTGGTGGTGGTGCTGGTTTCCTCTCTTCATGAAGGAGCTCTGTGATTGTTGGCTGAACCCCCGCTGCAGTTAACGAGCCTGGGACATTCAGAGCCCATCACTTCTCTGGAGTTTGCCCTGAAGAGTGGCCTAAGCAGAAAATTGGATTCTTGGGCACAACCAAATGGCATATTTTGCTTCCTACCTTTTGGTAGAATCTGCATTGTTCCTATGCTTATGTTTTAGCATATATATGGATGGATTTGTAAGAAAAATTAAAGTATAAAAGAACTTCAAAATTTTCAAACATTTATGATACTGGTTTTCTTCGGTGTAGAAGGATTTTTTTAGATTTTTCTTTGTGTGTGTGTGTGTGTGTTGCTTGATATTGAACGCAGTACCTCAACTGTACTAGGCAAGCCTTCTACCATGGAGTTATACCCTCAACCACAAGGCTAGGTTTTAAATATTAAATATTTTCATAAAAGTTGTTTTATTGAAATTCTATGGATTTTTTTTTAAATTTTATTTATTTATTTGTGTGTGTGTGGCCAGTTCAGCCCACCAGGGGACGGGGCTGGCTGGCATATGGTGCAGGGGGATTGAACTGCGGTCCCTGTGCTTTGCTAAGCTTGTTCTAAGTAGGTGCTTTAGACCACTGAGCCATCTCACCAGCCCTCTATTGATTTTTTTAATGGAAGACAAAACCAAATTAATAGCATCATGTCTTAAATAAAGTTATTGATTCCATATCATTGTGTGTGTGTGTGTGTGTGTGTGTGTGTGTGTGTGTGTAAAGTTTAATGAACTAAAGAGCCCAGGGGGGAAAAGCTCATTTTCTTAAATATTTTGAAAGAAGAAATGACTAAAATTTTTCCTTTTATCATATTACATAAAATAGGATAGCGTATCAGTTACGTTATAGATTCTATAGCAGTGATATAAGCTATTTTACTTGTCAAAGAGGTTGTTAAAATTGGAACACATTTTGGACTAGTTGGTATGTACTACCTATAAGGTTTTGTGGGTCTGAACAAAATGGGCCTTAATCTTAGCTTCTCATTTAGTTGCCTTTAAGGCATACAGAGGTTAATGGACTAAGATATTGTAATATTTAGAAAATGATAGATGGCAGAATTTTTTATGAGATTACAGTATCTGCATCCAATTTTCCCATAGTCACACTGTGGAAATGCTATAACATTATGGAAGCCAATTATGTTGAATGAAAAATACTCCGGAAACTCAACAGAATTTTGTATTATTTTGGTTTGTTTTTTATGACCTAGGAGCGGTTCAGAGCTTATTCTTGATGGACATTTTTAGAATGTTGTTTTTCATTGCTGATGAAAACTTGCTTGGGGGATAGGAAAATTGAGCTAATTATGTCAGGATTTGTCTTCACAGTGCCAAACGCAAGCAAAACGCTTCAAAGTCTGACTGCTGTCTTGATGCAGCGTGTCTTACGCTCTTTGGGTCCCTAAAGATGCAATCCGCAAGTCTCTAGTGTGCTGATCTTCAATCACATCTGGCTTTAAATGACTCTTTGCAAGTTGGTAATATAATGCACACCTTGTCTCAGATAGCAAGGAGAAATGAAAACATTAACACTTAGAGCTGTGTTACAGGGGTGGTGGGCAGCGAGGCAATGGAGTTACGTACTGGGGTTACGCCAAGTCCTGTCCGTTTCTCTTGATTTACACTCGCATTTCCATGTTGTTGTTTTGCAGAAAGCTGAAGAGAATGCGGAGGGAGGGGAGTCGGCCCTAGGACCAGATGGAGAGGTAAGGTTGGCGGCGCCACTTTCCTCTATGGTCTGCTGAATGGGATCCCTGCCCTGCCCCCGCAGCACCATTCTCATTATACCAATTTTGTTTTCCTCAGCTATTAATTTTTTAAATAGTATATATATATATATATATATATATATACATATACATATATATATATATCAATCATAGAAGTTAACATAAAAGACTCAATGAAAATTAATCTACTTTCATCTTAGTTTGCCAGTCAAGTGATACCAAGTTTCTTATGTAACGTTCCAGAATTTTCTGCACACGACAGGCCTGTATGAATAGATAAAATGAATAGATAAAGCGTGTTATCAATCGATTCTCTATATTTTCCCAGTAAGTGGTACAGAATCATAAAATATGACCAAGTTTCCCTAGTTTATTACTAATTTGATATTTAGAAAAGTGAAGTGTATGTATTTGGGGCATTTTGGACATGTCTATAAGCTTCCAATGTAGCTTCTATTCATAGACATATGAGCATAGTCCTAAATTTTATTTCCTAGTATTTGCAGTATTCTTCTGAATCATGAGGACATAATTACTTACTTACTGGATTTTTTTCCTGAAACACGCAAGGATCTCTGCCAGTGATAGGCCGTGTGGAAGCGCGTGCCCAGCCTAGGTTGAGGAGGGAGTTGCCTTCAGACCTCCTTTTTCACTCACAGATTCTGACAAACCTGTTCAGAGTTCGGGCGGCTGCCCACTCCCATCCTGGACTCACAATGCACAAGAGGCCTGTGGTGACCCTCACAGCCTGCGCGCAGGCGGAATGCTGCTTCATTCCTCTATGCAGAAACCCCTAGAAAATAAATGTCGCCTCACCACTCTAATCCATCACAGGGGAAGAAAAGATCAGGGTAAAAGTCTAATGTGCAAGAAACTCTCCGTGAGCTGTGAGGAGCAAAGATACTACGTGATAGAGCACTTAGAAAACAGCTCCAGTGTGCAGCCGCCCAGCCTTACCTGAGCAGGCCGCGTAGCAGTTTCTAATACACAAGGACACGTGAAGAAATGTAGGGAGTTAGTGTAGCGAGTTATTGATACAGCGCTCTTATCTCATACTATCTCGTGGGAACATTAGCTACTAATTTGGCTTTATGAGGTGTATCTTTTTTTCTTTTAATTTTAACACTTGCGAGCTCTTGTTAGCTGGAGTTTGCAACATGGACATTTTGCCCTGTTTGTTTTGAAAAATAATGTTCTTACTCTTCTTCTGCGCTCATGCAGGGCTCTTGCCAAAGAGCCTAATTCTAGCTACAGTGATTTCCAGTTTTCTTTGAGTCATGACATGAGCAGTCAAAGAAGCTCTATTAAATAGTTCAAGATAACAGGATGTGAGTTTTTGAAGGAAATGATAGCACATGGGAGATTTTCTTCTTTATCTTGTGAGAGTATAAATGACCTTTTGTATTAATGAAGAAAAAGCGTCGCATCGCTGTGCCAAGCAGCGGTGCTCAGAAGCGTAGCTGTAGCCTGCATCAAAAGGGGAAAAAGACAGTCTGGAGTGAGTCTTTCTTTTTCTAAGGTTCCCTCTGTGAATAATTGCACACATATTGTTCCTTAGTCTGACAGTGCTTTTTTGAATTAGAGGAAGTAGGGGAAACAAAAACTGCTAGTGTTTTGCTTTCACTTTCTGTTTTTGTTTTGGGTTATTTCCTATAAGATAAAACTATTTGGCAAATAACCCCAGGCATACTGGTTTTCCTATCATTTTTCTTAATTGCAATAGTAAATTATATGATAATCCTAATGCCAGTGGATAGTGTTTTTTGTATGTATTTGACCACAAAGCCAATTAAGAATAATTTAGGAAAAATTCTTTGGTATAATGGATTACCTAAACATGTCACTTGGAGTTGAAGCACTCCCAAGCCCAGCATTTCCGGACAGCTGAGCGAGGGTCTACTCCTACAGGCCAGTCTCTCTGTCATCAGCAGCATTCATTTGCATAGTGCTGCTGTGTTTTCAGGACTTTTCAGATCATTTGTCCTCTACAGTAGGTGAAGCACAACCTCTGCAGTTTCATTTATTTTCTTAATTTTCTGAGCAAGCCATTGCTCATAGAGTCTAATAATGAACTCCAGCTCAGTGTTGGTCAATTGGCTCAGTTTCAAATAAGCAGCCTTTTTTCCTTTTATCACACTGTTTATATGGTGGTCGAGTTAGATACTTGCTGGATTGGTTTTGGATAAAGAGCACCAGTTCTGCAGAATCCAAGCCAGCCACTAATGAGATGGCTCTGGGTTATATTACCTTTCCCTTTTCTATTTTCTCCTAACCCATGGCTTTGCAGAAGCTGTTACCTGGAGAATAGTAGGTGCAGGCATCAAGGGTGTTTCTTTTGAATGAGCAAAATTAATTCTGGAAGGATTTAAGGAAGAAGGAAATGCATCGTATCACAGGCTGAGCATCCTAAATGCTTGAGGCCAGTTGTATTTAAAATATTTTAAAATTTTGAAATAGTTACCTGTACATAATGAGCTCTAAAGGATGAGACTTTGGTCTAAATATGCATTTCCCATATGCCTGGCATATACCTTCTGCACATAATCTGAAGGTAGTTTTACACAATATTTTTTATGTTCCTCTTTTTGAACTATGACCTGTTCCATGGTGTTAGATTTTGCACTTAGAATGTCAGTGCTCAAAAAGTGTCATGGTTTGGATTTTCTAGTTAGGGATGCTCAACCTGTCATAGGACTTTGAGTCACTCACCAGCTTTCCAGAAATACCATAGAATCTGCCTCAGGGCTATGCCCAGTGTGGTAATGTATGCCTGGCCTGGGGAAGACATGGCTGCTGGGAGCAGGCAGGAGCTTGGCATGGCCAGTGCCACTTCACAGGCCCTGCTGCCTCTTCAGCTTCACCTTCTCCTGAGCACTTAGTGGTCCACGCTGCCCTGAATACATGTAGCTGCAGAGTGACAACCTTCAGGAGTGTATCTAGAGGAGCTGAGGTCTTGTGCCCAAGCCTTAGTGGCCAGCGATGCCTGCATTTTCAGTTTCTGTAGGGGGTCAGGGCCTCTCACTTAGCACCAAGATTCATTAAGTGGTGGAATTTTGAAATACAGAAAGATATGTCAGATGCTGAGCAGCAAAAGGGCTGAGAAACATCTAACAGAGCTGAGGGAGCATCTCTAACATACAGGTGACGTGACAAGATTTTTCTCTCTCTCATTCTAGCCAATAGATGAAAGTAGTCAGATGAGTGATCTGCCTGTCAAAGTGACGCACACAGAGACCGGCAAGGTCCTGTTTGGACCAGAAGCACCCAAAGCAAGTCAGCTGGACGCCTGGCTGGAGATGAACCCTGGGTATGGCCTGAAAGCCACCACGTTGGTATTCTTTGGGCTTTTTAGGTTTCAGGGGGCCTTGTGAAACCTTGAAGGTGAGACAATGCAGCCTTTGATGAGGTGGTGGAAGTGATTCCCTTCATTTCTCATCTGTACACAGAATGTGTTGGCTCAGTCATGTGTGCGTCTGTGTGGTTTTATAATTTACAAACTAAGTCTTCCCTCTTCTCCACTCCTTTTCCTTAGTTACGAAGTTGCCCCGAGGTCCGACAGTGAGGAGAGTGATTCTGATTATGAGGAGGAGGTATGTATATATCTCCATTTGAGGTTTACTATTTTGAAAATTGATGGAAAAGAAACTTCTCTCTGAACACAGACCTCTGAACGCAAGTCTATTTATCCCTTCTTTTTACCCAGGGTTGGTTTTTATGTAAGACTGGGGCTAACGATTCGCAAAATCTCTGACGGCACCTGCCTAGTGGTATAGCAGTCTCTTGGGGACTCCTGGCTGTTGGAGAATTTTAATTCATTTGTAACTAAGAAAAGAGAAGCTGGCATTAAACTAGAGATGGTGACAATGTCTTTTGGGGAGAAGTGAAGATAGATTACTTAGGGGAAGGCAGTCCCATGTCTCTGAGTGGTTCACCAGGAGAGTTAACTACATAAACGTTTCAAAAGTCTTTTAGGCCGTGGAGTCTTTTTGAAGTTGTTAAGTCTGAGAACTTGGATGTAAAGGGCAGCATGGGCCTGGCTTGACGAGTTTATTGATCCTCTGAATTTCTTCCTGAGATTCTTGTCTGAATCCTTGAATGTACTTGTTACCCAAAGAGAAACACATTCCTCCGTCTCTTGGGAAGGATCCTTCCTGTGTCTAGAACGTCAGATGGCAATCTGGGATACTTTGACCAGAAATCAAGAATGAACTCATGGTGTTCATTAGGTCAGTTAGGAATTGTTTAATAATTGCAAGTAGAAGGATTAAAAGAAGATTTGATCTCTTTTGCTAGAGCATTGCTAATAGTTGTTACAAGTGATATGCCAAGTGTAGAGGAGTTTGTGTTCAGGGTTCCAACAGCGTGGATGCCAAAGGCTGAGTAAGGCAGCTTTCCTGGCAGTAGCTTACCAGGATTTTAAGATAATCTTATTTTATATTTCTCTTCTAATATACCACAAGCATTCATTGCTTTTGAAAAATAATGCAAATTACATTCATTAAAGCTTAGCCATTGAAAATCAAATCTTTGGAATCCCTGCTAACTGCCTCCCCCCAGCTATTCTTTGTGTCTTATTTATTCTGGTGAATGGGCTCATAAATGATCTGGTGAAAGATTTTTCTCTCTTAAGAGAGCCAGAGAAGGCAACTGTAAGATAAAGAGGGCTGCTTAACCAGCAGATGCCACCATGAGACTGACACCCAGAGATAGCTGTAGCCAGCTGGGAGGAGCCCGGTGCTTAGAGTCACCAGTGAGTCCAAGTAATGAGCCCTGTTTCCTATTCCTCACCCGTGAAGGTATGGTTCTGAGTCCTCAGTTTAAAAACCTACTTCTGAGTAGCCTGTCATCATTAGTTTGATTTTAGGTTTTTTGGTTTTGGTTTTGTTATTTTTTATATATATATATATATATATATATATTTTAGAGAAGGGTCTACAGGGTGTTCAGGGTCTCACTACTAGATTGGACTTGTAGTGATCCTCCTGTGTTCAGCCTCCCAAGAGCTGGGAATATAGGCACATGCCACCACGCCCAGTCTCAATTGCCATGACAGCGTGCCCTGGGGGCAGGGCAGGCACAGCAGACCCAGGGATGGAACCCCCCGGGCCCTGCACTTGGACACAGCATTTTGTAGGAGAAGAAGCATATTAAAATTTCAGAAGTCTGGTTTTGGAGAGGAGAGAGCAGTTATAGCACCAGGACTCTGAAAGCCAAACAATATCATCTTCCTCTTTCTGACATGAACTTCCTATCTGTTTTCGTTTTTTTTTTTTTAAATTTTTTTAATGTATTTTGTACAAGGTCTCACTATGCAGCTCGGACAATAGTGATTCTCCAGTTTTCAGCTTCCCCAGCACTGGGATTACAGGCATGCACCACCACGCCTGGTCTTAGTGGCCAGCTCAGTGTGCCCGGGGGTGGGGCCTGTGGGCATGTAGTGCAGGGGATCGAACCCCAGTCCCTACACTTGCCTAACTAGGTGCTTAATCTGCTGAGCTATCTCGCTGGCCCTACATTTCTATTTTTTGGATCAAGGGTCTTGGTGGGATCCTGAGAGGGTCATTTTTTTGTTTCATGCAGTAATCTAAATATCAATGGGATAGTCAATTGCCTGATTTAGGCAGATGTTATATTTATCTCCTTCCTTAGTTGTTTTTATTTCATTTTTTTAATTGAATATTATTTGATTTCTCTTTTAAAAATGCCAACTGTAGAATTTCCCTGTTAAAATCTAGTCTTCCTACATCTTTGTTTCATTTCCAGGATGAGGAAGAAGAGTCCAGTAGGCAGGAAACAGAAGAGAAAATCCTTCTGGATCCGAACAGTGAAGAAGTTTCTGAAAAAGACGCTAAGCAGATAATTGAGTATGTTTCTCTGAGTTTTCTCCCTTGGAAATGTGTTGCATGAGGATTGTGCTATATGAATTTTTAGAGAATTTTGTTTAAGGAAGGTGGCACCTTCCTGCTGGTACTGTGCTTCCCCTCAGGGATTGTATCTGACCTCTAGCCCCAGGTCGGAGCTGCTCATGTTGCTGGTCCTGCCCTGCCCTACCCTCTCCTCCCCTCTCTCCCCCTTTCCTCCCCTCCCTTTTCTATCCCTTCACTCCATTTTTCCCTTCTTCCTTTTCTCTGTTCCTCTTCTCTCTCCTGAGACCCCACCTCAGAGTCACTCCTGAGCTTTCACCCACCACTTGCACTTCTGTCCCAGACTGGACTAGTCACACTTACCTGCTCCCTGTGGTCTCCATGCCCGCCCTTCCTTCCTTCCTTCCTTCCTTCCTTCCTTCCTTCCTTCCTTCCTTCCTTCCTTCCTCAAAGGCAGCGAAGCTTAGCCAGAAGCCCCACTTTGAAATGCCATTTCTGTCCCATCCTGGTCAGCTACCAACTCCCTCTGTCCCCCAAATCCTCTACCCTCCTTGGGCCTAGTGTCACCCCCACCTGCTTCCAGTTCCTTCTCACTGTCAGTGGTTGGTACCTGCCTTTGCTTGTGTTTGCTGTTATTATAAGAGCAGTTCATTACTACATTTAAACTGTTTTGAAGCAGTATGCACAAGGGAAAAAACTTCAAAGGTGGGATTTTTGAAAATCCAAGAATAAGCACCTCAGTATTTTCCTGTCTTACTCATGATTGTGTAGCCCACTGTGGCAACTTTGGTTTGCCAATCTTCTTCCCCTAAGACTTTAAGAATCCTCAGTGGCATGTTATCACCCATACACTAGCCCTTGGCTCCCAACGCGGCATAGAAGCTGGAGGCTTGCCTTTCTCCTTCCCTACCCCTCCCATGTGCTCTGATCTCTCCCACTCGCCTGCCAAGCTTCAGTCAGTGCATATGGAGAGATTCCCTCCCTGTATCCTGACAGGCTGGGACAAGTTCATGGGCAAAGTCAAGTTGGCCTGTAGCTCTTGGGGTCAGATGTGGGTCTCTGGGGGTCCAGGAAATCTTTTGCGACAAATGAAGTCCCCTCCCTGAAATTCACGTTCTTCACATGCATGACAAGGGGATAATAATAATGCTTACCTCACCTAGTTTTTTTTAAGGATCACCGATAATGCATTTGAACTGTAAGACATGCAATGGTTGCTAAACTATACTTCCTGCAGCTATTCTAGACTCTCAATTCAGTTTTTTGTATGAAAGAACACTCAGATGTCTGCATGTGATTCCCTGTTTTATATTCCTCAGGACAGCAAAGCAAGATGTGGATGACGAATACAGTATGCAGTACAGTGCCAGAGGGTCCCAGTCCTACTACACCGTGGCGCATGCCATTTCAGAGAGGGTGGAGAAGCAGTCTGCCCTCCTCATCAATGGGACCCTAAAGCATTACCAGGTAATTGGCGTATTTGTGTTTCCCTGGTAAGTCATCATTTGGTTTTTGTAAACCTGATTTGCAGTGGAGGTCATCATGCACCTGTGAACTGCTCAAGAGATTTTTTTTTTTTGTTTGTGTGTGTGTCTTTTGGGGATAGGGTCTCACTATGCGGTTCAGGCTGGCCTTGCGCTCACTCAGTAGTCCAGGCTGGCCTCGAGCTCACAATGATCCTCCTGCCTCAGCCTGCCGAATGCTGGGATTACAAATGTGTGATGTGTGCCACCACCGCACCCCGCCTGAGATTTTGAAGAAGTTGAAACATTTTAGATTCTATCACTGCTAGTATTGAGAGTCTCCCCACTGTGCCTACCATTCCTCTTCCAGAGTATTTCTGTGATTATTGGCTGTACTAACACACACCACACCAGTTTTCTCTTTTATAATTTTGGCATGAATTTTGTTGTAAGAAATGCTAAGTCAACTATATTGAGAATAGTTTCATTGTGGACCTCTTCAAAATAGAAAAGGTGGGCATTCTGTTAGTGGGCAGGAGCATCCTTGCCTCATCCCTAAGTAAATAGAGTATCTCTTTTGGACATTTTCAATGTAGCCATAGTTTTATGCTGTGGATCCAAACACCTCACCTCATCTAGTATATTTACACTTTTTTAAAAAAAAATTATTTGTGTGTGTGTGTGTGTGTGTGGCCAGCTCAGCCCACCAGGGGGCAGGGCTGGCTGGCATGTGGTACTGGGGGATTGAACTGCAGTCCCTGTGCTTTGCTAAGCTTGTTCTAAGTAGGTGCTTTAGACCACTGAGCCATCTCACCAGCCCAGAAAGTGTCGGGACGGGGGCACGAACCGGCAACCTCGCACTCTAGAACCCGGCGCGGAAACCACTGTGCTAGGTCGCCACCTTATTTACTCTTTTTAAAGATATAAGATAGTTCTGGGCATCTGTGCTTTGTTTAAGAAACAGCCATAAGCAAAACAGATGTTTCATTTGACCTTTCTGTATTGGGGTTGACTCTTGTTTCTGTCCTCCCATTGCTTCTCAGGGCTTCTAAAGTGTGCTTCTTTGAGAATTTGTTCCATGGAGTCCTTCCTCAAAATTATATATATTTTTAAAAAAATAACAAACAACAAAGCTACGTGTTTTTGTGCTTTGGTAAATTTAGGAAGCACTATCAGCTGTACCTAGGGCCATCATAACTTATTCTTCCAAATTGTGATACTTGTGAGAGGGAGCAGGGAGACCTTCACTGTTGGTCCTAGTTACAATTAAGCCTAGACAGTCCCAAGCCACCTAGACAGGGGTCACCTTGGCAGTGACCCTTCTTGGTAATCATCCCTGCACATCAACACACTAACAACAATGCAAAGATCAAGGTGCGATCCAAAGTGCACACCGGCACCCTCTGTGTAACTTGTTTAACATTGTTTGACCTTGTATTTGACAAACTTCTTTGACCACCAAGGCCTCAGTTCTCCATATTATGTCTTTTTTTTTTTTTTTTCCAATATCATGTCTTACTATCATATAAAACCATGTCTCTGGGCCATGCCTGGGCACATGTGTGTCCTAGGCTGGTGACTCTCAATCTTTGGGCATCAGGTCTTTCTGCTTTTAAATCATGTGTCAGTGAAGGTCACGGTGCTGTTGGCCTGGTGCCACCCTGCCCTGCGTGGATGTGCTGGCAGCTTCTGCCTATGCTTTTGCACCATTGCCGCTGATATTGCACAGAAAGAAGGACAAATAAACCTTTGGTATTGTTGTGAAATTCATTTGGACCTTATGGATGTCCTGCAGAGATCTTGGGGGCCCACCCGAGCACGCTTTGAGGACAGTTGCTTTGGCCATGCTCAACCATGTTTTCTACAAAGACCGTGAGGCTTTTATGAATCCAGAGTAGTTTGCACCTCATTATCCTGCCTGACATACATGGTAACTCATCGGGTATTCTGATAAAGTGTTGTATATTTGTATAGGGAGCATCCATTTTTGGATTAGTCATAGAGAACTTTTGAGGCCATATTGACTTCCCCCTCCTACCCACCTCTTTGTAAGCAACATTTTTTTTTAATGTATTTGGTATAAAGTCTCACTACACAGCTTAGACTCATATTGATCCTCCTGTTTCAGCCTCCCCAGCACTGGGATTACATGCCCAGTCTCAGTGGCTGGCTCAGTGTGCCCAGGGGTGGTGCCAACATGGTATGTGGCACTGGGGATTGAACCCCGATCCCTGCGCTTGCCTAAGCAGGCACTTAGATCACTGAGCTATGTCACTAGCCCCATCACTTCCATGTCAAAGTCATCCCTTTCTGCTTCCAAACATAAATTTCTTACTGGGCTGCTAGAGTCCCTGAAAGGGCTTTGCACTGTCTCCCTCTAGGGTTTTGCTTTATGAAGTTTCTTCTTCCTGGAATCGGACAACCCCTTCATGTCAGATGAGTTCTCTATTTTCCCTGAGTTGTTCAGGTTGTGGTTCAGTCTCCTCTGGCATTCTCTCCATGAGAAAGCTTTCTTTCTCCTCGCCCGGCTTTTGTGCCATCAGTATCCACCTAACCTTGATAGCTGCCTTCCTGCTGCTTTCTCAGGTTCTACGCTCCCCAGAGGCATCAGCAGGGCAGGCTGCCCTGTCCCCCTACTCCATTCTGCAGTCCCAGCTGGCCCAGATCCCTTCCCATAGGTTTTGTGATTTCTGGTCTCTCCTGTTCCTAGCTCCTGCTTTTGCTTTATCTAGGATTAACACAGATGCAAAATTCAACCCCTTTGCAAGTTTTCATTAAAAATGTACAAAACAATCCATTCTCACTTAAAATCCAAATGTTTCTAGCTATCAGTTGACTTTCCTAAAGGTCTAGTTGTGTCCAGGTTGTGTCGGAGGCAAACAGTTTCTCTTAACCACCACTTGTGGCTTTGTAGTTATTTTCCCACTTCCTCTCTCTCTTTTGCTTAGTCTTTGGGAGGTCCTTCCTCTGCCTCTCTTATCTCTTGCTATTGCTATACTTCCACATACCTTTCTGGATGACTTTGTTTTTGCATACGATATTCCAGATAGCTTATGAAAGTATTGCTGTTTTCAAAACATGCCTTTGTTTCTGTAAGATAAATTCTGGTCAATGCAATTGTATACATATACATCGGCACTGTTAACTGCTTCTAGGTACATAGGTACGTGTTCCTTGTGTGTTATTTCTTCTTTGACAGCAAGCTTCTTCTGCAGGGAGCCAGCCATGCATCCTATACACCTGAGTATCCATCCATTGTAGCTCCTGCATGATCCAAAGGAGTCATTTAATAATTTAATAAATATTCTAAATGAATCACTCACTTTATATTCTTATGTAATATTTCCTAGGCATTATTACTTCATTAGCAAGCTAAGCTGACTTCAACATATGTATGTGTTTGCGTGTGCGTGCGTGTATGTATGTAATGCACATATATTTGACCCAGCCTCTGAAACCCAATGCCATTGTGACAGGCATATATCTGGTAATATGAATAGCTGGTTGGAAGACAACACTATGCATTACAACAAATACTGTGAAATTCATATTACTCTGTTAAGTGAAATTCTGTATCACTTGAATTTTTTTCTGTTTCAATGTTAATTTGTACTCTCTTTAAATTTTTTTTTTTTTTTAAAAAAAAGGGCACTGGGAGGTGTGAGAGGGAGTGAACATTCTCACCTCATCTTTTGCATGTCACAGGAGGGACTCAAACCTGAGTCCCTGAATCTAGTGCAGTATTTTGCGATTTAGAAATATGTCCAGTACATTTCCAGGCAGTGAGCTTCCAGTGTGATTCTGGTGAAGAGGACCATGCCGCAGAAGTCTGTGTGTTACCTGGGAGCTTTCTCTGTGCCAAGGAGAGAGACATTCTCTAAGAGCCCCAGCAGAGTGGCCCTGGCCGCTGGTCATAGGCTTCCTCCCCAAGGGCACCGTACCCTGGAGGCCAGCTGAGCTACACTAGGGTTTATGCACCAAACTTGCCTTCTGGTCTGTTCGTCTTTAATCCTCACATTGGCTTTTTGTTCTTGGAGTGGTTGGACTAGATTTTGATTTCTTTTTTTTTTTTTTTTTTTCATTTCTAATAATTCTAGAATGTCATATACTGTGAAATGCTAAGTAGGGATGAGCAGCAAAGCTGCTTAAAATCCCACCAGTGTGCCGCAGCCCATCATTTCTAAATCTGATTAACACTCAGCACCTGCCAAGCGGCAGGGACGATTACAGGCTCATATTTTAAATTCTTTTTGCGTTGGTGCCTTCCCCGCTCTCCTACTGTGGGAAACCCTGCCTACCGCTCAGAGAAGTTAAGAAGTCACAGCCTCACTTGAGTTGTATTAGTATTAATTACCTGTGCAGATCTTGGATAATTGAAGCAATTACTCTTCATTTCAGCTGCAGGGCCTGGAATGGATGGTTTCCCTGTATAATAACAATCTGAATGGAATCTTAGCTGATGAAATGGGGCTAGGCAAGACCATACAGACCATTGCCCTCATCACTTACCTGATGGAGCACAAAAGACTCAATGGCCCCTATCTCATCATTGTTCCCCTTTCGTAAGTAATGTCATTTGTTCCTCAGTTGCCCTTCTGTAGGCTGTACATCTCCCTGTCAGTAGTTTAGCCTTGTTTCTCACTTATGGCAGAACTGTAGCTTATAGTGGTGTTGGCCAAAATCATGTAATCTGAATGTAGGTTTTCATTCCCCACTCATCCTCCTTGGTTGGCTAGTCAAGGAAGCGGCCAAGCGACTTTTATGAGCACTGTGTTCTGCACCAGCCCGCGCTCTATGAGTAGATCTTATTAATCATCACTCTTTAAGTGGCTCACAAAAAGGAACGATGTGGGTGGTTTTTTCTTTTTAAGATTTTAAACTTTTTTTTTGCTGCTCTGTTTTCCAAAAGGTGATTATAATCACTGATGAATGTATAAAATCAAAAGATTATGTACTTGTAAATCTTTGCTGTGTCTTTTAAAGAAGAATGGAAATAAAAACTTGTAATTGTGAGTTTTGCATTAAAGGAACCTCATTCGTCTGGTGCATTTAAGGTTTCAGTGGCTTCGCTGCTTTGGAAAGATCTGTTGCCACTTTTGCTGTAACCATGTCACTCCCAGTACCTTGCCCACTGGCTGGTTCCTCTCCAGCCTGTAGTGCAGCCCCTGAGGCAAGGGGTGACTGCTCACACCGCCCTCCCTTGGGGTGCGCTGTGTGGCTGTGGGTGTAACGCTGCAGCCTTGTTCACTGAGATCTGGTCATCCAAAGATCTCTGTGCTGATATGAACTTGGGACTTGGAATAAGAACAGGATTATATGCTCATGTTTTCCTCAAATTGTGTCTAGATGGGGCCTACTGACCAATCTTTCTATATGAATTATTTGTCTCCATAGTATGGAGACAACTTTTATATTTTATGTTCTGCATGTTTTGATATATTATGGCGACCCTTTCAGTGATTTTATTAAGTCAGTATTTTTTGCCATGCTCCCTCTTGACAGATTTACTTAACATTTCATGTGGTTTTGTAATTTTCTTTTCCCTGACTGACGCTTTCTTGCAACTTAACATGACTATCGCTAAGTAGTGTCTGAAGTACTCTAATAGTCACTTCTTTTCAGTAACACGTGAAAATTTAGTGGCTTTTGCTCCTTGTACTTATACACTTCAATACTTTTTCTTGAGCTAGCTAGCTATTTATTTATTTATTTATTTATTTATTTATTTTGTGGTACCAGGGATTGAACTCAGGACCCTGCAC